AAGAATATTAAACCAAGCAGGGAATCTATTATGGGTTGAATTGTGTCCCCTCTCAAATTCCTGTGTTGAAGTTCTAACCCCTATGTTGAAACACCTCAGATGTGACCTTATTTGAAAACAAGGCTGTTGTAGATGTAATTAGTTAAGTTGAGGTTATACTGAAGTAGATTGGGCCCCTAATCTGACTTGTTTCCTTATAAAAAGGGGAAATTTGGACACAGTCACACATCCAGGAAGAATACCACACGAAGATAAAGACAGAGACTGGAAGATGCTTCTATAGGCCAAAGAATACCAAAGATTGCCAGCAAACCACCAGAAACTAGGGGAGAGGCATGGAGTAGAGTCTTCCTCACAATCCTCAGAAGGAGCCAATCCTGATGACACCTTGATCTTGGACTTTTAGTCTCAAAAACTGTGAGGCAATAAATTTCTGTTGTTTAAGCCACTCAGTTTCTGGTAATCTGCTACAGAAGCCCTAGCAAACTAATACAGAGTCTTTCTAGCTGCAGGGCCCTAGGCAACTGCGAAGGTCACGTGCCATGAAATCCATGAAGCTGGCCCTGCTTGTACAATGGTTGGAAGAGATGAGGGAGGGAAAGACAAAGAAGTTTCCAGGAAAGATTTCAGTCCAACGCCCCCAAATGGGAGGTTCTTAGAAGCTCCTGTGAAGGTGCAGCAATTCCGAAGAATCTGTGGGAAGTTTGCACCCATCCCGTTCTACAGCAGTGGCATGAGTGATTCTCCAGGCTCCTTAGGAAGCTGCTGTGAATCACGTCTGCCCATGTGTGGAACTGATCTGAGCTCTCTCCAGAGAAGCGTGGTTTCTCTTCCACCGTCCAAGTCTGTAAGTGTCTCTCATTGGCAAACTCAAACCATTAGTCATTTGGGGAAGGAGATCTAGGAAAATGTATTTCTTGGTGTCTCTGTGATGCAGAGGAGATCTTCTTAGGAAGAGATAAGGGCAGTGCTAAACTGACAATAGATAATCCAGCATACTTGGCCTGACATGTTTTGCACTTAAAGCTGATGTTTCAATGTCACTTTTCTTGGATTCTAACATGACAGCTTCCCCCTCGGGCAATGGTGACTTTTGACTAGATATCTAGGTTAGGACGGGGTTTGGGAGGAGGACAGGAACAGCCCTGGCGCTTCTCGTACACCTTAGGGGTATAAAGAGGAGATATTCATTGAAGCGAACTCTCCCCACATCAGTTCATATGATCTTTCCATATCAGGAAAAAGAAGGAGAAAAAGAAGTATGATGTAGCAAGTGAGAAAGGAGAAGAAGAGAGTGAAAGAGAAAGGAGAAAGTGGAAAGGGAAGAGAGAATCAAGCCATGAGCCCTTGAAGAGGCAAGAGGAGAATCTGGAGAGTGTGTTGTCAAGAAAAGCAAGATGGCATGGAATGGCTTTGGCTTTAAATTAACTATGTCTTAGAGAAGATGAAAAAGAGCACTCTTCGATTATTTGTCAGGAATGTTTCTTCTCTACCAAAGCCAGCGGGTAAACTTGGGAATCTCTCATCATTTCACCCTTTTTACTTAATACTTTAGGGAAAGGCATGTAATTCTAATCCTTTTTCAAAATTTATATTTTTAAAAATATTTGGCTGTGAGAACATTTCTGAACTTTTCTTGACAGTTAATGACAATTGAGTGAGTAGTTCATAGTGGAACTATTCCTGACGGTCAGAAACTAATGATCTGACATCTTAGGTGACCTATATTTATGTGGAGATGCCACTGTGGACATTAGCACAGTCTTAGTTATAGTGAATCACCAAAGCTAATGAAGTCAGAGGAATTGTTTTCCTCTGTCCTGTACATTCTTCTTTTGGTGCAGAGTTCCTCTTATCCTATGTTTTTTATTCCTTACATTTTCTATTTTCTTTTGTTTCGTAAAGAACTATTAACCAATTCAAACAGACAGGTTTGGTTCCTGGATGAATTTTTGTGAAAGAATTTTACAATTAAGAATTTCCTATTTCTTAGAGAATCAGCCACAGAAGTGCTACTCACTGTAACTGCATTCAGTTTCTATTGCTACATAGAGTTATAATGACGCGGTGCCATACTTAATAACACTAGGCATAAAATGAATGTTTCCATATAGAACGGACCACACCGTTCAGGTACTTTTTTAGTACCTGATTAATTGTCAATTAATTGTATATATTTAATGGCTGTAAGCATGTGACAGTAAACATCAAATGGAAATCCTAGTTATCCAGATGTTTTAGCTCTGAAGCCAAGCATCTGGAAATACAAAAACATCTGGATGACAGACTGTACTTATCACTTTCATCCAGCTATTTTGGCATTATGCACACTTAGACCAAATCACTTTTGTCTATATCGGTAGCAATGATAAGCTGCAATAAGAATCATGTTGCTAAGTGATATTAAGAGTAATACAAATAAATCACCCCAAAGTAAATAGTTATTTGAACACAAATTATATCTAAGCTATTGAAATACATTCTTATATGTGCATCAGGATAACTTTAAAGCCAAAGTGTTTGGACTACAACGTATAAATGAAGCTGCAGTATTTAAAATAATGGTATAGAATGTATTTCTTAAGCATTAGGAAGTAATCTGGGTGTATATCAGATGAATATATGAATTTTGTTTGAATTATGAAATAAAATTTAGAAAAGTGTTAACAAGTTTCAAACCACTGATTTGGCTTTATATCTTAATACTTTCTAGCGAATACAGATTACTGAAATACCAAAGGGCATAATCCAATGGCGTATAGGGAAAGGCACATGGAAAGGTGGGTTAACAAAAGAACTGGACTAAGAGAAGACAGGGGTTGCAGAAACACTGTCCTTTACTAGCTCTGGGGCACAGGCCAGTCAGCGTACCTTAAATGTGTTGGGATGAGATAAAAGAATGCCTATGAGATCACCTTGCCCTGCCCTGCGTATGGTAGGTGTTTAATAAGTGTCAGTTGCCCTCTGCTCAGAGAGCATAATGGGAATCCATTCAGAGAGCATGATGGGAATCCACTCAGAGAGCACGATGGGAATCCAGGTTGACCTGGGTGACCATAGTTCACTCTGCTTAAAGTCATGATAGGTCAGTGTCATTTTAGGGGAGATAATTTTGATCCTTACGGTTTCTGAGTACTAACAAAGTTGCTATATGTGTTAAAAAATAATTATATGAAAAAAAATTTTTAAAGAATTTATCATTTTTGTCTTTCATACATTCTTGAAAAATTGAAACAGGTATCTATTATGGCATTATTTTACATGGCAGAAATAAAGATATTAAAGTATTACTGAAAAGTCATTTCAGAGAGAGAACTAGAATGAGAACACAGGTCTTCCACCAGCTGGTTCAGAGCTCCTTCCCTTGACCTGACTGGTGCCAAGTAAACAGATAAGGAAAATCTCATTCACAGACTGGATAAGAAATAGCCAGGCTTCAAACAGCAGGCCATTTACCTAGCAACAATTACTATTCCACAACTTTCTATTTTTACTGATATAAAATTTAATTTGTAAGTTCTTTTTCTTCTCAAAAAAACAATCAGATTTAATATGCCAGCATCCCTTTTAACTTAGGTGTTTGTAGAATCCAGTCACAGTTGTAAATGGCAGGTAGCATTTTCCATCATGAGAGTGGGCACAAAATCAGGCTATTAACAACTTCTGAGCTATTTGAAAATCCCTCAATATCATTTTAATACATAATTGATTATTCCAAGTTATAGGCACAGAAATAAGGATGGGTAAATATAGATATTCCCCCTTTTGTGTCTTTTAAAACCTGTATATAGATTTGATTATTGTGTATCAGACATTATTTTGACAGATTCAGTAGGGTAGTTTCTTATCTCAGTGTGACTACTTTTGTAAATCTTAAATTTATTTTGCTTAGTAAATAATCTTCATCTACTATTGGTGGGGGAGGGGAATATAGATTTTTTTTTTTTCCCCTGAGGAAGGTTCGCCCTGAGCTAACATCTGTGCCAATCTTCCTCTTTTTTGCTGAGGAAGATTTGCCCTGAGCTAACACATCTATTGCCAACCTTCCTCTATTTTGTATGTGGGTTGCCACCAGAGCATCGCCACTGACAGATGAGTGGTGTAGGTTGGCGCCTGGGAACAGAACCTGAACTGGAGCACACTGAACTTAACCACTAGGCCACCGGGACTGGCCCTAAATATAAATTTTTTTAAATGTAACGTTACCTTAAAATGAAGTGGTTTCTAATAATACCATTAATTACATTAAGTTTAAATCACAAACTGATTTTCTATTTGCAAGTAGTATTTTCCAACACTACAGAAAATTTAAATTTAAAAATGTCTATGCAAAAGGAACACAAGGAAATAATTGCACATCATATTTGTACAATGAATGTTTGTAGAAAGAACAAGTATAGTTTTTTTTCTCTAGGAAACACTTAGTATGTACCAAGTATTGTTAGAAGCACTTTAGAACAAGTTGTATTTATAGTAATAATCCTATGAGGTTATTACACCTATTGTTCCCATTTTCAGGTGAGGAAACTGAGCTGTGGAAAGGTTAAGGAAGTTGCTCAAAGTCACACAGCTAATAAGTGGCTGTGCCAAGATCCCAAGATCCATTTGGCTTTGGAGTCTGAGCTTCTACCCACTGCTCTATGTGAGGCCTAACTAAACTAAGCATTTAAAAATAATTTAAAAACATAGACCAGTCCCTTTTAGGCTTCCAGCAAAAGTACAGTTAGCAGAAACTTTGTTCTAAAAGTGACTTGTTTCCATAGACTGAAAAGTCACAAGCTGTTGTATACAATAGTTTTTTGTACGTAGCAGCTGCTCTGCTTTGTGCAGCTCCCCGCAAGCATGCCAAAAAGTTAATAGCAATTACAATTAAAGAGGGAAATTATTTTGAGTAACATAACATTTGACAAGAGCTTTGGTAAATAAAGCATTGCCAAAGAGCTAAAATATTAACACCTTGTTAAAACTTTTCTTTTTTTCTGCACTGACTTTTTTACAAGGTGTCAACTGTGAATTGGAAGTTGATGAATGTTGGTCCCAGCCCTGCCTAAATGGTGCCACTTGTCAGGATGCTCTGAGGGCTTATTTCTGTGCCTGTGCTCCTGGATTCCTTGGTGATCGCTGTGAACTCCACGTTGACGAGTGTGCCAGTCAGCCATGTCTCCACGGAGGGCTGTGTGTGGATGAAGGTAACAGGTACGTTTTCTCCTATGTGTGATGACTGAGAGAGAAGTCATTGACCAAGGACTATTTGGAGAATTTGGAGATTTTACACCCTTAGCTTAAAATTTTTAGATTACTTTATACTTGAAATGATGAAAGGTTGTAACATTCAGATTTTACTAAAAAATGCATCCTTCGGAGGTCATCTGTCCCAAGAGTGAAGGTTTTCCAAGACACTCTTGTAATAGTTTAGAACTGCTTATATTACAGAAAAGTGGCAGCTTTCCAATTCCATGAAATAAACCTTTTGTAGATAGGGAAGGTGCAAAAACAAAGCTAGGGATTATTCTGTATGTAAATGTAAGTTTGTATCTATGTGATAACAAGCATATAAATCAAATGGTGAAAAACAAATCCTTTAGGAATTTTATATAAACAGTGTTGGAAAGGGCAATGATATTAAATAATTTCTATCTTGAATTTCCAGGTGTTTGAGGGAATTGGGTGAATACTTTTGAAAAAGCAGAATGATGAGAAGTAGCCATGTGATTCTGCTCCAAATCAGATTCAATCATTGCTTTTCAGTCAAAAAGAGCAACAATAAATTATACCTTAATATGATGGATATAATAAATTTAGTTTATGGTAGTTGAGTTTATATCAAATATTTTGAAAAGAACTTTCTGGTATTTATTTAAGCCACAAGTATTGAGTTATCAAATGCATGACAGTTTCTAAGAGCATCAACACTTAACAGTGTCTTGTTGGATCCTTCAACGGGTCGGTGGAAGGCAAGATGGGCATTAATGTTCCCATATTACAATAAGGAGGCTAACGGTCAGGGAAGTTAGGTGACTCCCTCAAGTTCACACAGTTAATTCTCTGCAAAAGGAAAACTAGAATCCAACTTTCCTTTATTTACTAAATAAGATATAATTTATCCAAAATCTAAATTTCAGAATGAATCAGACTCAAAAGGAGAACAATAAAAGGCATGTGTGCTTCAAATATAGCCAGAAAATAATATGATTTTAAATAGAGCAATGTGGTTGTATATTTCTCTTGTAAACTATAAAGCATAACCATTAACCACATTCCACATCTTTCCTCTGACTTTCAGTTATACCCAAATCAGTCTCCGGTAGCATGAATCTACATTCCTGGAGGCAGGTAACTGGCCAGCACATAGATAGAACAGAATGGAAGTTTCCACACAAGAACTCTAGTAGAAAAGAAGGAGGCTATCCCATTGATACTTTACTGTCTCCAGAAACATCAGGACAGAAATTACACAAAGCTTTTGATTCCTATGGAAATGCAAACAGAATGAGGCTGAAACCCTGCCACCTTTCATCTCACCTGAGTGTGCCATGAATAATTTTTCTATTTTACCCTTGTCTCTCTTATTACCTAAATTTTGAGAAGAAAATCATAAGGTCAACAGATATGACCTGACTTTATTTTCACACAACAAAAAATTTGCTATGAGGTATGTGGGAAAGTCAGAAACTATACACGAAATAAGGTTCTTGCATATCAAAGGAATTATGCAAATGAAGTCTCTAATTCCACTCGGTCCGCTAGCCAGCCTTCAGTACAGAGCTCCTATCTCTAATGTCTTACCTAGAGTAGGTCTGTTACCAAGCAGCAGGCTCATTCTGCTTGCTTTGAGACCAGCCAATAAGTCAAGAGGCAAGTCAGTGGAGTAAAAAGGGTTTATTCATTTTTGCAAGCAAAGATGGAAGATGGTGGACTCGGATCCTCAAAGCCCATCTTCCTAGAACAAAAATCACAGAGCAGTTATACAGGGGAGTGGACATGCAGTCTTGCACAAAGTTATTCGAGGAATGCAGTTTCTCCAGACATCTGTCTTCAAGTGGGTGATCTCAGTTTCCAATAACATCTCACCTTTCTTTCTCCTTGATGGAGGCTCCTGTTTCCAAAAGACTGAACATGTGTCAGCAACCCCTAACTATTGATTTTATCTAGAGTAGGAGACAAAGGCAAAAAGTTAATAATTCTTTTAGTTGAGTAAAGGTTTCTGCCTGTGTGGGTGATGCCAACAGGTTTTTAGTAAGTACTTTTAATTAAATAAATGGAATAGTGAATCAAAGATTTCTAACTAACAATACGTATAAAAATTATAGTCACTTATTACATTTGCTAATATTTCCATTTTCTCAGTGAAGTCTTAATATCTGTGTTTGGTGGTAAATATCCACAAAGCCATGGTGGACAGGACTCTAACTGCTTTGTAAATTCATAGGTATCCTTTCTTGCAGACCCTCATTTATCTGAGCCAAGTGGGCAAGTTCACGTTTTTACAATACTAAATCCTCGAGGGGGTCTCATCTAAATTAAAACCCTCCTCTTAATAAAGTCAATAACTTTCCCCATCAGATTTGTATTTTGAGTCTGTCAGATGATCCCACTCGATCAATGAATGATTCAAAATTGCAAGACTAAAATATTATTGTAATCTAAAAATAAGAGAACTTAAGTCATAATTCATTTAATGAGGGTTTTCCTGGTTTTTTCCACAATTAATTGTTTCATTTTTCATAAAGGACCTTATTAATGGACTCTCTATGTAAAAGAGTCCCACGATGGTATAAATGATTCTCTACTGCCTTCACAAATATTAACAACTTTATTAAGTATTATTTAGTAGCAGTTTATTCAGTACTTTCTGATGCTTGAGATATTGTGTTTATTCTTTTGTATGTACATTGAATTATCACAACAACCCTGTAATGTAGGTACTATTATCTTCAATTTATGGATGAGTAAATGGAAGTAAACAATCATGGTTTCCAAATAATTTTTCATGAAGCTGTACTATAAATAAAAAAATAAGGTATTAACATAGAATCACATAATGCATTCAGGTCTACAGAGATAATTCCCCAGGGTTTTTGAGATAAGTATTAAGACCATGCCATGGGTCTCGAGTTGATGGACAGATGAAGAGATAGGATAAAGATATTTGATCTCAATATGACCAAGACTTGATGTGAAAATTTCATTTTACTCTCCAGATATAGCTGTCACTGCACAGGGAGTGGATTTACAGGGACACGTTGTGAGACCTTGATGCCTCTATGTTGGTCAGAACCCTGTCACAATAATGCTACATGTGAGGACAGTGCTGACAATTACACTTGTCACTGCTGGCCTGGTAAGTGACAAAATATCTTCCACCAATTTTTTTATTTTTTATTTTTTGCTTAGAATAGAAACAAATCACTTATAGCAAATAGAAACTAAAAATTCTTATTTTTAAAGGTTTAAAACTAACTCTTGCTTCTAGTTATCATTGTTTAACAATTTTATTCCTCAGTGCTCACACATACCTACTGCTACACTATGCGTTGTCTAAAGTAGATTATCAAGCTGCCCAATGGTAAGAACCTTCTAGAAGAATCAGAGACACAAATCAATGGAAGGATCAACTTCAGCGTGGTCTTCATGGAGAAAAATTCACTGGAAGATGTTTTCTTTTCCTCCAAGATGTTCTCCTTGACACCTAGAATATATTGAAACCTATGAAACAATGTTAAAATCCTAGAAGCCTCTATTATAATTCACGGAGTCAATCAACCTAATAATGATGGTCCCCATAAAGGGTGAAGAATGATATTCCGGAAATAAGAGTATTCTCCTAGGCATTTATAATGTAAATGAGAATACAAGTTAAACATACATATACCATAACTAAAAATTACACATAAAAGCTAATCAGACTTGAGTGTAGAGGTGATACCAGAATCAGCAGAAAATAGTAGTATGACTTGAGTCAGCAGGCCATTTATAAATATTGATGTTAATTTTGGCAAACAACCTTCTTGACATACTTTTAACCTAATTCTCACTAGGATTTCATTGATAGAAACGAAAGATTTTTATTTATTATTATTTTTTATTTTATAAAACCTTAGTGGAGTTGGGGGTAAGGAGGGAACAGTGGGTGGTCAACCTCTTGGCAACGCTCATCATTAAAGTTCTGACTCAGGAGGAAGCTGGCAGCCAAGTTCTCATTTTATCACAAGCAAAGTAGGCCTGGATCACCAGGCTCTCTGGGCAGCCTAGGGCCTTCAGCCTCTCTAGAGGATCTTTCTCCTGCAGCATCACTGGATGTAGTTCACCTTTGGGCCCTCCTCGCCTGTGGCACCCCCCTCACCCTCCACGTCATAGATGTCTGCTAGCTCCCCAGGGGACTTGTACAGCATCTAGATGAACTGCTCCTTGTGCCAGCTAATTTTCTGCAAAAGAAAATTGATCCACTGGGGAAAAAAATGATAAACTTATGATTACTCAAAATCTAGTTGTTTTCAGCCTACTGATCATTGATTGCCTTCTCCCCATTCACTTAATTGTCTAAGGAAAGGATAATCCTATGGTTGGGGAGGAAACTGAAATCAATCCAATTGGTAGTAGCCTCTGATTGAAAGACATTCCATTGCCTAAGGGACATTTAACATGCTTTGATTAAATATATTTTGTAGGTAAACAAACAAAGAAACATGAAAGTATAAAAGAAAATTTCGAATTCTTCTGTGGCTCAGAAATCTATTTATGTCATGTGTCTTCCCACTTCCAGATAATGAGTAGGGTATATTTGCTATCCTTTGGTTACTGGCTTGACTTAAATACTGAAATTTTTCCAAAACGTGGTGTTCTACATTCCCAACATTGACAAACACTCAACATTCAATCAACACTCTGGACAGGACATCTGTTCAGAGGCAGGGAGTAGAGTTGACAGTTTGGGAGTGGGACAAGTCCACCATTTATTAACTGAGTGAACTAGGGTGAGTTACCTCGTAATTGTTAAGTTCCTTATCTGAAAACGAGGGATAAAAACACTTCAGTCGTAGTATTGTTGTGAAGAGTAGAATTATAAAAATAGAGCCTGGCACATATTAAGTACTAAAAAAATGCAACTATTAGTACATACTGGTTTGTACACCAGGAGGTGAGAATTACATTTGGGAGAGGGTTTCTGTTCTCTAGGGTGTTTGTAGTGGAGTCAGGCAGTTAAGACCTGCCTGAAAAAAGACAAACCAGTATGTGTTCTATTCATTTGGTGATTCAATCATTTAAACCACATGTTTTTCAGTGCCAACTACATGTATCAGGGAAGGATCTGGGAATGAAAAGGACATAGTCCCCTCTTCCAAGGAGCTTAAATTCTAATAGAGATATAGTGTGAACAAATTGTGTATAGTACACATTTTTGATACAATAAAAAGGTATAATGAGTTCCTTAAAAGGGACTAAGGGAAGGAGAAGGACAGGGATAGCTTAACCAAGGAGGCACTATTTTACAAAACTTGAAAGATCAGTAAGCACATCCCAGAAATGTACTCACTAGCCTTGTAACGTTGGACAAGTTCCTTTACTGCTCTGAGCCTCAGTTTCCCCATCTATAAAGCAGAGATGATGATGATAATACCCACCTCATAGAGTTGTTTTGGAGATAAATCCAGTAATGTATATGAAGCTCCAAGCTCAGCCTGGACCATAGTAGGCACTCAATAGATGTTAACTAGATACCAAAATTAGAAGGTTGTCCATTCTAGGCCCTAGGCCTTATTGAAGGAAAGAAGAGAGGAGGGAAAGGAAGGAAAGAAGGAAGAAAGAGCAGCAGGCACACATGGAAAATAGCATGTCCAATTGTGGAAGCTGATTGTTCAAAAATGCCAGACGAAGTAGGGCTGGTGTAGAGAGACAGGGTAGGGAGCAAGACAAGACGGAAGCCAGATCACAATGCTGCTTGTCTGCCCTGCAAACTAGCGGACAGGGGAGTAACATAATCTGACCTGTTAATTCAGAAAGAGCTCTTGGGCATTGGAACGGGAGGTGACTGAGGGAATTAAAACCAAAGGCAGGGAATCTAGTGAAGGAGTTCTGTGGTAGTTTAAACAAGAGATGAGCCTGTTTTCCACAACTGAGACTAAAGGGTGAGGGTGGACTTGAGGGAATGGATAGCTGTGGGAGTCATTTAGGAGGCAGAAATGATGTGGGGACTAAGAAAGGGCACAGTTAGGACAGTTCTGAGTTTCTTTCTTGGGTCACTGCAGGGATAGAGATTTTGCCTAGACAGAAAATTCAGAATGTCTTTAGACCCTATTCTCGTTGTATATGAAGAGATTTAAGGCTACAAACTACTCTAGATCTAAGAAAAGGAGACCACTCCTTTAGATGGCGGAACCACTGCCACTGAAGCAATGGCAAGAATCCACTGCTATAATTGCCTAGGGCCCTCATTTCAAAAGCAATTAATTAAAGAAGTGTCAATCACCTTAAATGCTTATCTTAAAAGTTTTCCTGCTATCCAGATAAGATTGGATTTGTTTAAAAATAGAACAAAACATAATATAAGAGCTCTAGGGACTTGATTCAGTATCATATTGTTTCTTTGTACAGAGTTTTATAGAAAAACTTGTTAAATGTATTGAATGGAGCCTTCACTAAAGGAGTTTATTTATATACATGCTTAAGGGGAACAGCAAACAAAATCCTTTCAGGGCCCCAGGGGTTGGGACAGGACTGGCAAGACTATAAATCAGAACCTTCCTAATGTTCACGCTAGGAATAAGATAATGCATGAGCCAGAAAGCAAACAAGGATTTATAGAGGTTCTAAATTACTTCCTACCTGGTCTGTGTGTGAGTCTTGAGATTTAGAATGAGAAGAAAATTGAAAGTAGTCCAAGCTTTCTTCAATAAGTCCTCCGTAGCACGACAAATACCAGTTTATAAAAACTTGTTGTGAAAACCATTATTTAAGTGAATATTTGTATACTCAAGTATGAAATAAGAGTATTTAAAGAGTAGATGTTCAGCTTTAAGAGACTGAGGGTCACTGCAAAGAATTGGGGGATCTTGATCTACATATGCTTTTAGTTTCCTTTTTCAACTATAAGTTTCTTCTTCAGATAGTTGAGAAAGACCCAAGGGTCATATGTAACAAATGCAGTATACTGTTGAGCAACAGAATTTATGTTGTGGTTATAATTTGACATATGGCCCCATTTAGGTTTTCATTAAAATTATAAAATGAGCAATCACATTGTATTCTCATTATTTGCTTATTAATAGTCAATTCTCTAGTTTATTTGCTAAACTAGGATTATAATCTAAATTGTTGATTAGTACTATTTGAATCTCATTCAATCATTGATTGAAGGTCTACTCCTTACGTATTGCTCAGTACTGGCAGGGTGAATAAAAAGACACAACCCTTGCTTTTGTGGAGTTCATAGTCTGTTGAGGGAGAAAACTATACATAAAAATAAATTCACAATAAAAATTATTATAACAGTAATGAAAGAAAAGAATAGGGTAATATGAGAGGATACAAGAGGTTCTTATTTAGATCTGTCCACAAGGGAATGTCATTCTGACAAAGAAATACGAGCCTGAAAACTAAGTTAGCCAACCAAAGTCTTGGAGGAGAGTTTTCTAGGAGAGGGAACAGTGTCATAAAGACCCTGGGGTAGAAGACATTCTAGGCATAGGAAAGTCGAGATGGGAATGGGACTAGGTAAGAAAGAGCATTTTAGGTTAAGGATTTTGAATTTTATTCTGTGTGAAAGGGGGATTTTAAAGTAAAGAAATACCATGATTTGATTGATAAGTTTTTAACTTTGGATTGTAACTTTTATTTTAAAAACATACTTCTCAGCAGTGTTGACGTTATAAAGACCCTTAGTTGACTGTGAAGTCACTTGTATTATAAGTCAAATTGTGTTCCTTGAGGAATTTCATACATCTCTCTCGCCATCTCACAAAACAGCTTATGTTGTCCTGGTCCCGCTCATCAGCTTTATATTGCATCCTACTAAATTTACATTTGCATCCTAGCACTATACATAGTATATAAATACTCTTATAAATCAATGAGAAAAACAAGCTAATGGAAAAAGAGGAAAAAAATATGAAATGGTAAAACAAAAAATCCAAACAATGTTAAATTCAATAGTAACTGGGGAAAACATAAACCAAAACAACAATGAGGTATTAATTTTTATCTAAACAACAGGTGAAAAATTTTGTTTGGTGATAGCAGATGTCGTCAGGGGTTTGGAGCCACATGCACGCTCGTCCAGGGCTGGTAATTATGTAAATGGTACAACTGCTCTGAGGTGTTTACAGTATCTGTTAAAATAAACAATGTGCACAACCTATAACCCAGAAATTCCACTTCCAGGCATGGACCCCGGGGTTATCCTCAGACGTTTACACAAGCATGCATATATAACGATATTCACTGCCACATTGTTTGTAATAGCAAAAATGTATGTAAACCCAGTAAGGGAATGATTAAGCTATGGTGCATCCATATTATGAAATACTTGGCAATAGTTAAAAATTATGAGTTAGATCTATATTACTAACATGGGTAGATTCTGCAAAGCAGTTGCAGAAGGATCAAAACAGTACAATTCCAGTTATGTTAACACACACACAATAAAACTATATATATATATATACACACATATATATATATTTTGACAGGTGCACATGTGTGTAAAACCAAAGAAATAGTTTTGGTAGGTAATAATTTAATATGTACATTTTTTATAAAGTACTAATTCATTCATGTTTTATTGTTTTTATTCTTGTCCCTAATAAAATGACCCAGCTAAATTCATTCAAATACAAAATAATTTTTTATTCCAACTCACTGAGTGTTGGGAAACTTTACTTTGAGTTTTAAGAGAATTTAGAGGGCCGGCCCCGTGGCTTAGTGGTTAAGTGCGCGCGCTCCGCTGCTGGCGGCCTGCGTTCGGATCCCGGGCGTGCACCGACGCACCGCTTCTCCAGCCATGCTGAGGCCGCGTCCCACATACAGCAACTAGAAGGATGTGCAACTATGACATACAACTATCTACTGGGGCTTTGGGGGAAATAAATAAATAAAAATTAAAAAAAAAAAAAAATTAAAAAAAAAGAGAATTTAGAGTTGGCTATGTGGATACTGCTTACTTTTCAGGTATTTTCTTGAAAAATATTTCATTTTTTATTGCTACAAATTCAAACCATTGGAATCTTTGAGGAATTGGAGTCGTTAGTTAAAAGCTTCAGGCTAAATCAAGGTTATCCTGAAGTCCCATTTTATTGTCGCTTAGTAATCAAATCTTTGTAAAAAATATTGGCCAATATTGTACAAGTGATTCCATTGCCACCACTGTTTATGTTCTTGGAAGCCTCCTCTTAGCAGATTCTCTTTGCTAGCTCCTTGAGGGCAGCAGGTCATTGTTAATTGGTGTAGCACAGCTGTCAGCCTCCTTTTCAGACATATGCTCTACAGTGGAGGGGCTTTGGCTCAGCAGTTTCTCTGAACTTCTATCCCTCAGGATACACCGGTGCCCAGTGCGAGACGGACATCAACGAATGCAGTAGTAATCCCTGCCAGTCTGAGGGGGAATGTGTGGAGCTGTCCTCAGAGCGACTGTATGGACGCATTGCTCAGCTGCCTTCTTCATTCAGCTACCCTGAAGCTTCGGGTTATGTCTGTATCTGTCGGCCTGGGTTCACAGGTGAGGCCAAGGGGAGGGGAGATGACTGGACTTGCTGGCGTCTTATGGCACAGCATGCATTTAACCAAATGGTGTATTAGCAGCAAGATCTGTGCTCTGTAAACTCTATTGCTGTGGTGCAAAGGGTCCCCCTTGTGGGCATGAAAAATATCGTGTCACATATCATACTTCCTCAGATCGTGAGGAAAATATTAAAAAGAGGGATAGAGGAGGTGTGTGAAAGGAAAAATATTTTTATACATTATACTGGGAATTGGAGCCCGACTCAAATTCTCTACCTTATAAACAGAAAATGTTGGAATTTATATGTTATTAAATTTTATAATGATGTTAAATTTTTACGTTATTCAAATTTGCTTAGAAAAGTTAACAGACTTATTTATATTTACACTGAGAACAATTATCTAATCTCAAGTAATCTTCCTCAACTATTCTGTAGCTAAAGTTGTCCCATATATCACATTTAAATGACTCCATCTTTTCTACAGCATTCTTTTTTTTTTTTAAGCTTTGCTGTTTAGTACTTTTATTTATTTTTTTTAATTTTTTGTTTGTTGCAGAGGAAATGTGCAAACAGTTGTGTTCGTGTCTGCTTTCATGTTCTGAAAACTTCCAGAATTTTGGAGAGAGTTCCCATATTTGATAATGAGTAGCAATTTACCTACAATTGCCTAGGTACCACTGAGAAAACTAATTGCAATCTAATAGATTTCTATCTTCTTTCTTTTTCAATAGATTAAATGATGCCTGGGGAAAATATTTCAGTTGTTAGTGAGGATTTCTGAGGAAAGTAAATGAGGAATAAGACAAAAAGAAGGGTCTATTTACACTTAGTATTCTCTTTCTTTCAACGTTTCAGTTCTAAAGTTACATGCTCTTTGACTCATGGCAGTGTTCTCTGGAAGGCTGCTGTAAAAGATGTCATTTTCTTATTCACTGTCCCTTCTGTGAGAACACATAGGAGAAAAGCTCTTCAGTGTCAGTCGGGATAAGTAGTATTTTTCCTGAACAACTTCTAGCTTGCATGTTTTTTCCCTTAATAAAAGGCATGCAAATAAATCTTGATAAATAGTAAAAAGCATGAAATAAATCTTGGAATATATCATATTTCCCAATCATGTAGGCTGCTAGAAATCTTATAGGTAAAGTGGAGTTCTACAAGCATATAGCTGTTTCTGGAATGTATTTATGTATTTACCTCACCCCCGGGATTATTTAAATTTCCTGTTTCTGTTTCTTATGGTTGTCTTTTTTTTTCTTTCTAAATTATTTGGTCTTAGTATAGTGTATATTTTTGTCAGCTACTTTAAATCCTTCTTGGAACAAGGTAGAGTGGTTATATTTTTTTTTTTTTTGAAATATTGGGTTTAGGGTTCATAAAGAGGATACTCTATCAAAGTCAGAGGCCTTTGCTAATATTGCCTTATCGGATAAAAGGATATGGTTGACCAATGAATCTGCAGATCCAAACAGGAGAGGCAATGGAATGTTCCAGAAAAGTGTGTTGGACTTGATTTCTGAAGAGCTGCCAAGAATGATTTCTATGAGTCAAGAAGTCTTGGATGCCCCAAATCTCCATAGGGTAATGAAATAGTTTATTTTTTACTCATATGAGTTCCAAAAGTGGGTTCTCATGATCAATTGTCCTCCAAATAGTGATTCAGGCTCATAAGCTCCTCACTTTTTTGTTGTTTTTTTTTTCCATCTTGAAAATGTGGCTTTCAAGTTTGCCATGCCCTTCTGAATGAAAATGGAGCATGGCATCTAGAAGATTTTTATGAGCCAAGTGCTCAAAGTTCAGTTTATCAATTATTTCTTTCATGGATCATGCTTTTGGTGTTGTATCTAAAAAGTCATCAACTTACCCAAGCTCGTCTAGATTTTCTTCCATGTTGTCTTCTAGGAGTTTTATAGTTTTGAATTTTTTTCCCCCCAAAGGCCCAGTAGATAATTGTATGTCATAGCTGCACATCCTTCTAGTTGCTGTATGTGGGATGCGGCCTCAGCATGGCTGGAGAAGCGGTGCGTCGGTGCGCGCCCGGGATCCGAACGCAGGCCGCCAGCAGTGGAGCGCGCGCACTTAACCGCTAAGCCACGGGGCCGGCCCAATATATTTTTGAATTTTACATTTAGGTCTGTGATCCATTTTGAGTTAATTTTTGTGAAAGGTGTAAGGTCTGTGTCTAGACTTATTTTTTTGCATGTGGCTGTCCGGTTGTTCCAGCATCATTTGTTGAAAAGACTATCTTTGTTCCATTGTATTGCCTTTGCTCCTTTGTCAATAATCAGTTGACTATATTTACATGAGTCTATTTCTGAGCTCTCTGTTCTGTTCTAATTATCTATTTGTCTATTCTTTTGCCAATACTACACTGTCTTGATTACTATATTAAGTCTTGAAGTTGGGTAGTGTCAGTCCTCCAACTTTGTTGGGTAGTGTCAGTCCTCCAACTTTGTTTTTCTCCTTCAATATTGTCTTGGCTATTCTGGGTCTTTTGTCTCTCCGTATAAACTTTAGGATCAGTTTGTTAATATCCATGAAATAATTTGTTGGGATTTTGATTGAGATTGCATTGAATCTAGAAAACAAGTTGGGAAGAACAGAAATCTTGAGAATATTGAGTCTTTCTATCCATGAATATGGACTATCTCTCCGTTTATTTAGTTCTCCTTTGACATCTTTCATCAGAGTTTTGCAGTTTTCCTCATGTAGGTCTTATACATATTTTGTTAGATTTATAGCTAAACATTTAATTTTGGGGGGTGCTAATGTAAATGGTATCATGTTTTTAATTTCAAATTGCACTTGTTCATTGCTATTTTATAGGAAAGTGATTGAATTTTGTATATTAACCTTGTATCCTGCAACCTTGCTATAATTGCTTAGTAGTTCTAGGAATTTTTTTGTCGATTCCTTCAGATTTTCTACATAGACAATTATGTTCCCGCCTTTTAAAAAATTGTTTGCATGGTATGTCTTTTTCCATCCTTATACTTTCAATTTATTTATCATTGAATTTGAAGTGAATTTCTTGTAAACAGCATATTAAACACATATTGTTGGGTCATGGTTTTTTAAAATTCACTCTGTCAATCTCTACCTTTTAATTGGTATATTTAGACCATTTGCCTTTAAGTGATTATTGATATGTTAGAGCTAAATCCTGTCATTTAATTATTTGTTTTCCATTTTATTCCTCTGTTTCTCTTTTCTTGCCTTCCTGTGAGTTAATTGACCATTTTTTAGAATTTCATCTTGGTTTATTTATAGTTGTTTTGGATATATTGTTTTGTGCAGTTTTCATAGTGGTTGCTCTGGGTATTACAATATACACATATGCCTTTTCACACCCTATTAAGGTCATCATTTTACCACTTTGAGTGAAGTGGAGGAACTCTACTTCCATTTAGGTCCCTTTACCTTCCCCACTTAAAAATATCACTGTCTTGACTATCAGATGGTACTCTAATTTTTATTTTATTCATTACATATAATTTAGAAAACTCATGAAGAGAAGGATACTGTATTGTATTTACCTATATTTCTGCTCTCTCCATTGTTCTTTCTTCCTTCCTGTTGCCTCAAGCTTCTTCTTTTACCATTTCTTTTCTATTTAAAGAACTTCCTGTAGCTATTCTTTAAAAGTAGGTGTGCTAGTGACAATTCTTTTAGTTTATTTTTGTCTGAGAAAGTCTTTATTGCCCATTCATTCCTAAAGGATAGTTTTGTTGAATATAGAATTCATGACAGACAATTCTTTTCTTTCAGCATCTGAGAAATTCTACACCTCTTTCTTCAGCACTCCGTGGTTTCAAATGAGAAATCTGCTGTCATTGAAATTGGTGTTCCCATATATGTAATGCATCATTTCTCTGGATGCTTCCAGAGAGAAAATATGATGGTGATAATACCTTCAACTTTAGTTTTCAGAAGTTTATTTATGATGTGTCCTGGTGTCAATTTATTTGGGTTTGTCTTATTTGGGCTTCACTCAGCTTTTCAAATCTGTGGATTTATGACTTTTCCCAAATTTGAGAAGTCTTTATCCAATTTTTCTTTGAGTACTCTTTCAGCCCTGCTTTTTTTTTTCCACTTCTGGGACTCTGATAATACAAATTTTGGGTCTTTTGCTGTTTTTTCACGGGTTCCTGAGGCTCTGTTCATTTTTTTTTCAGTCTATTTTCTCTCTGTTGCTTAGATTGGGTAAATTCTATTGCTCTGTCCTCAAATTCACTGACTTTATCCTCTTTTATCTCCTTTCTACTATTGAGCCCGTTCAGGGAATTGTTATTTCTCCTGTTGTATTTTTCAGTTATATAATTTCCATTTTTTTCTTTTTTGTAACATCTCTTTCTTTGCTGATATTTTCTATTTTTTCTTTCATCTTAAGAGAATTTGTAATTGCTTATTAAATCACTTTTATGATGTTTACTTTAAAATCTTTGTCAGATAATTCCAACATCTGATTCAACTCAGTGTTGGCATCACTTCTTTTTTTTCTCGTTCAAGTTGTGGTTTTCCTGGCTCTTGGTATAATGAGTAACTTGAAATTGTATCCTGGACATTTTGGATATTATGTTAGGACACTCTGAATCTTATTTGAATTTTTTTTTTTTTTTTTTTTGTTTAGCAGGCAATCACCTATTTAGGTTTGGCTAACAGGTCCTGGCCTACTTTTATGGGCTATGGGTCCAATGATCAGTTAATTTTCAGAGTCTTTGCAGTGTTATTTTGGTATGCTTGGTATCTGGTGCCCTGGGGCTCCCACTGGTCTCTGCTGATGATAGGAATGACACAGTTTACATTTTTCAAGCTATATATAGTTGCAGTTCTATCACTTGTTAAATTAAAATAAAATTTCCATCATGATGAAAAATGTTATTGTGTATAATACATTTAATGATAGAGTTTCATTCAAAGAAACCATTAGAGTTGTTAAATATGGCTATAAACTATTCCCTGTTTTTTAATTATAATTAAGGATATTTTTATTACTCTT